TAAGATTCCTGTATTTGAATTTTCTATGGACGATGCACGTCAGTATGTTTTGTATGCTGATGTTGACTGTAGTGCAAATAGATCAGTGTGCCCGCGTGTTCGTGGTTTAGGATGCTTGCCTCCTATTTGTGCAGACCTATGCCTCTCTACTCTAGGTGCTTGTGTATCTGCTCTAGGTGCTTGTGTAGCCTCCGGACCTGACATGCCTACGGCTGAGGCATCCCTGTCTTTCGCGCTGGACTGTGGTGCGTCGCAGTGTTTCTTCAGCAACCATACGACCCTCACACCACTCCTTGCTCCGGTTTCGGTAGATCTTGCTGATCCTTCTTCAGGACCAGCCGTTGCACGCAGCTCCACCACCCTCCCGTGCCATGTGGACCCCTATGATGTCCTGCGCGGCTGTGAGGATTTCGTTCAGGAAAGATAAATCTATTGAATGATTCACCTGGGTACAAGGCGAGGGTATATATAGGCTCGACACAAAGGCAGTAACCCAGGTGTTATTAGAATGTTCCGGGGGTCGCGAAGCGTCCCAAACGGGTCCTTCCAGAATTCGGTAGAAGGCAATTTGTTGGCAACCAAAAAGCCTAGAATTCGGTGCACTCAACCTAGTTTGGTGCCTATAACAATAATAACTATAGTAAAAGCAACGAACCTAGGAAATCAAGCAAAAGCATGCAAGATGAAATACAGCTAAGCTAGATAATGCGTACTATAGTAGAATCAAGCAACTAAAGTCTAGCAAAGCCGTTGTACTCTCACACGTCCCCCCCTCAAAGCTGGGTGGCGTGAGATACACCCTGCTTGACAAGATAATCCTTGAGAGCACGGCGTGCGTTGCCCATATCAGCTTCTGCAACCCAACTGTCCTCCGACGGGCCATATCCCTTCCAGAGTATCAGGAACTCGAGCGTGTTGCCACGTCTGCGTCGATAAGCGAGCACTCGTTCCAACTCGTACTCTGGTTCATCCTGTACAAGAACAGGTGGTGATGGTGGTAGCTGGCGTCCTTGGAACTGTTGGTTGGGGTCCTTGTAGGGCTTTAGCAGCTGAACATGGAAAGTATTGTGAAGCTTCCACGTAGTAGGTAAGCGCAAGCGGAATGTTATTGGTGTCACCTGTGCCTCAACGTGAAAAGGACCATAGAAGCCAGGCCAGAGCTTGGCTGGTAGGTGAGACAGGTTCAAGTTGCGCGTCTCAAGAAGCACCTGATCTCCGACTGCTATGGTGTGATCACGTCGCTGGCGATCGGCATACTGCTTCTGGGAGTTTTGTATCATCGTGAGATGTCGCTGAGTCTTCTCCCATAGCTGCTGCATGGTGGTGACGAAGTCATGTGCGGCTTGGACGTGTGCCGGTGTGGTTGGCTTCTGTGGTGTAAGTGGTTCCCGTCCGTAACACAGGAAGAAAGGAGTTTTCCCTGTGGCCGCATGCGAAGCGTTGTTGTAAGCGAGCTCAAGAGTAACTGTAGTCGGTAACTGTAGATCCCAGTGGCTGATGTCGTCTTTGCAAGTTGTACGTAGTAACTGTTCAACCACTTGATTGAGTCGCTTAGTGTGTCTGTCAGTCTGGGGGTGGTACGCTGAGGACATCGCAAGCGTTTTCCCCAAAATTCCCATGAGTTCCCTCCAAAACTTACTAGTGAACTTTGGATCTCTAACTTAGATGAGTATAGCGGGGATGCGATGGATGGTAATGATGCGGTCGAAGAAGAGTCGAGCAGTTGCTTCAGCAGTAGCCGTGGCGTTGGAACACACAGGTAACATTCACCATCAGCACTAATAGACACAGCATACATAGCAGCAAGGATAGCTTCATAATCAAGATCAAAGATAGCAACCCCCGACTTAACCAGATCACCCCAGCGAGGTCAGTACACGTGTGTCTCTTCTGCAGTTCGGACTTCCCCTACAGCAGCAGCCTCAATGCCCGGGTCGGGCGGAACACACAGGTAACAGTCACCATCAGCACTAATAGACACAGCATACATAGCAGCAAGGATAGCTTCATAATCAAGATCAAAGATAGCAACCCCCGACTTAAGCAGATCACCCCAGCGAGGGATCTCAGAGGAGTCGGGAAACTGCGTACGCCAAGTGTCAGCCAGGCGGCCAAAGCAGCGCAGTGTGGCGTGCGGTCGTCCACACGTCTCCCCACTGTGGTCGCCGGTGCGGAGAACGTAAGCGCAGGGACCAGCACCCCCAGACCTCCCACGCCCAGCATACCACTCACGAAGCTGCTAGGGCAACAGGGTCTCGCGAGGGCGCTGCTGCTGCTGGCGCCGCCCACCGCCAAAGGCTCCCTGTTGCACAGCGCCACCTTGACCAGCACCACCGCCGCCGCCACCCCCACCGCCACCGCCGCCGCTGGCCCCACCTCCACCCCCACTGCCGCTACCTCCGCCGCCTCCACCTCCACTGCCGCCACCAAAGCCCCCACCCCCGCCACCACCCCCACCTCCACCCCCACCCCCTTTGCTGCCTCCACCGCCACCACCGCCGCCCCCGCCGTCTCCTCCAGCACCCTTGGCCCCCTTGCTCCTGCCGCTGCGGTGCCTCCCACTAGGAGCAGACGCAGCGCCGACCGACTCGGTGCCAACGAGGTCGACAGCAGAAGCAGAGGCAACAGAAGGCAAGAGGGGAACAGGGGAGCACCCCTCAAAGAAAGGGGCACGAGGGTCACCACGAGAGGCTCCTACAGCGACTATACTCTTCTCAGCTGCTAGGAGGCGCTCCTCGAGGAGGGCAACGGTGAGTGTGGTGGGGCAAAGGGAAAGGAAGTGGTCCCTGACCGAGCGAAGGGAGCCAAGGAGCCGGGTGACGAGGTAGTAGAGAGTGATGTACATAGGGGGGGGGGGTCACGGCGCAGAACTCAGCAGGAAGCGCAGCGCGGTAGCGGGTGTCACTAGTGCAGAGGTGCGTAATGAGGTCAGTGATTGTGGCAAAAGCGGCCAGGTCAGGGAACAGGTATGGTAGCATGAGGCGGCTAAGGGCAGCAGTGGCAGGGGAGGAGTAGCGCGCAACAACAGCGTCGTACAGAGTCCTAGCGGTCTTGTACTGGCTAAAGTGCGCGCGCTCAGCAGACGGCAGGTGACTACGAATAGCAAGACGGGCAGCAGCATCGCGCGTGGTCCACTGCGAGCGAACAGTACTGTCAGCATCAGCAGCAGGTGCAGTAGAGGTGCCAGACGTAAGATAAAAAAGCGAGACTCCGTCCTCGCTATCGCACTGCAGAAACAGCAGCAGATCATCGGCCCAGACCTTGAAATCAATTGCCCGACCCTCAGCAACGAAGGAAAGTACATTAGGGGTAGCCATGACAGCAGTAGCAGTAGCAATAGCAGTAGCAGTAGCAGTAGTAGCAGTAGCAGTAGCTGTAGCAGCAGTAGTAGCAGCAGCACCAAGAGCAGCGCGACTTGGCAGGGCGGCGCGGCTCGGTAGGGCGGCGCGGCTCGGCAGGGCGGCGCGGGCGCGGCGGTGCGCTTACCAGGCGGGATCGGGGTAGGGCCGCAGCGGGGCATCAAGTTTTGTCGTGCTACAAATTGAAGAAGGTACTTGCGGCACTGCTGGGCGGCAACAGTGGAGCATCTCCGAAGTACAAAAACGGGGAATCGCCAGTAGCCGCGGATCGACCTGGCGATCGCGTAAAGATCCAAAAATCAGAAAAGGGCGACGACGTGGCGACTTCGGAGCGGGTGAAAAAATGAGAAAATGATGACGCGAATATAAATCGTCACGACCGGCCGGCATTAGGGGAAATCGCCGAGGCGAATAGAGGCTCTGCGAAAAAGACTCTGCACCGACCGGGAAACTCCAGCCGAACACCAACGAAAGTAAGAATTCGTTAAAAGTATCCTATAAAGATACTCTAACAAAAAATATTGCTTCTCGTGGCTTTCAAGCCTTTGAAAAATTCAGGGGAGATTTAGAGGCCAAGAAAAAGCCTTTAGAGATTATTCAGGTACCTGAGAATTTGGGCAAAGTACTACGGATCGTAGAAAAGGGTCGTGCGTTCCGTGGAGTTAATATTCTCTCCCCGCAGCACAGTGTTAAGGCTCCCCGTTGCCCACAGGTGAAGCCTAGATAGCTGCTAAGGCTTAGAGGAAAATTCCAAGCTCATGAGAAGTTGTACAAGCCTCGGAAAAATCCTCCTACCCCCCAGGTGAAGTTAGAATGTGCTGAGTCAAGTATAGGAAAGGGTTCGTAATATCTTTGATGTACCCCATGTTCCTATTAATAAGACCCTCATTGGCTACTCAGCACAGCAGGAACCACTACTCCTCGAGGTGTTATGCAAAGGATGACGCCTCCAGGCTCTGGTGGACAGCGGTGCATCTCACTCAGTGTGTGACCGCGGGACGTTGGAGAAAATTGGGGAACCTTCCGAGATGACCAAGTTCGCAACAACCATGGTGGACGGTACGAAACTTCCCATCTACGGCGAAGCATCACTGCAGCTGCACATAGGGGCGCTGAGGTGGAAGCCGACGTTGCCGATCACGAATATCAAAGGTCTAGATTTCATCTTGGGGCGAGATTTCCTGAAGCGGTTTAACCCCGAGATCGACTGGGTGAACAGGAAGGCGTGCATCTACAACAACGGGAAACGAGTGGAGCTACAAAGCTGGACGGATACAGGGAGTGTTCCTGAAACAACACTGGCACGGTTTGAACAGACGGTGAACGAGAGCAACACGGGTTACTTAGCACTAGTTATGGCAGCAGCAGAGGAGGAGAAGCCGAACACAGAGCTACCTGCAGCAGTGAAGGAGGTCTTGGAGTAGTATAAGGATATAATGCCCGACGACCTACCAGCAAGCGTACCTCCAGCACGCACCCACGAGCACGAGATCGTGGAGAAACCAGGTGCGAAACCTGTCTCACGAGCACCATACCGACTGAGTCCGACCGAACTGACAGACATGAAGAAACAGATAGAGTGTTTACTGGACAGACAACTGATCCGCCCATCCACCTCTCCCTACGGTGCACCAGTTCTTTTCACTCCAAAACCAGTGGCACCGTGGGCAAATGCGCGTCCAGCAGCGCCTCCTCGTCCTGCGTGGAGGAGCCCGGCAGCAGCGCCACGCGCATCGTCCCCGTGAACGGCACGTCCGCTGCCAGCATCGACCCGTCCTGCCTCAGGGTTAGCAGCGCCGACAGGTACACCAGCCATGTCTGGTGTAGGGGAAGAGGATTGGGGGGGAAACGAGGGGACGGAGGTGGTGAGTACGGAGAGTAAGCAAGTGGGAGGGGGAGATAGTAGGAACCACGCGCGAGTGAGACAGCGAATGGGGCTGGTACGGCGGCAGTCGCTGGGCAGCAAAGGGGTGCGGTTGGCGTTGCGGACTGACCTGGCCGTTGTTAAGCGCAACACGGTACTTGCTGCTGTCGCTGCTGCCCTCCACTCCCGTGATGGCATGGATTGTCGTCAGCATGGGCGTCGCGGGGGGGCCGCCCGGGGGGAATATGAACGTGAGGAAGGGGGACCCGCGCACCAGGGGGACCTCGAGGATGGAGGGATCGGCGGGCGCGGAGGAGGGTCGGCGGAAGGAGAGGGTGGCAGAGAGGTCGTCGTAGGCGGAGAGCTGGTGGGGGGGAAGGCCCTGCAGCGTGGAGAGCATGAGTGCGGTGACGAATGCCTGCACGATGTATCCGGGTTGCGGGTCGCGCGCTCTGCACGCGTCACGAGCTCGGGGTTGCCGCCCTGCCCCAGCACTATGTTCTGCCACGGCGCGTTCGTCGGATACGGCGCCTGGGATTGGGGGAAGGGGGGAGTTCGGCAGGATGAGGGGAGAGGAATGGAGAAAGCACGGGAACGGGGGAAGACAAAATAGGAGATGCGCCGAGCCTTCGGCAAGGAGCAGCCTCCGAGTTTGAGAGGGCACTGGAGGTGGAAAGCGCCCGGAGATGGGAGAAGCGGAGAGCACGCGCCGATGCCATGGCGGTGGGAAACTCACGGTGAGGTTGGCGGACCAAAGGGTGGAGGGCGCGGGAGCCACAGTGGAGGAGAGCGCGGGGAAGGCCGCCGACGCCATGGCAGCGGGGATGAGACGCGCTTGGAGTGCGGCACCGGGCGATGACAGGGGGAACGAGTTTGGCGGGGTGAGGAGAGGAGACGGCACGTGAAGTGCATGAGGGCGGTGAGGCGTGTGCCGTGAAGGTCAGATGCGGTCGGGGGGGTTGAAGGCTTGTCGTTCTTTGAACCACTACACGTCATAAAGCAACCACGTTTCCACACTACAAGTCAAAGGAATGTCAAATTACAATGTTGAATATTGAAAGTACATCAATTCTCTAACTCTCTAGTAGTTGTCACACAGTGAGCCTTCGAGTACAAGCATGTGGTCTGGAACCTGCAGAACAATCACTGTTACAATACTAAACAGGACTTAACTAGGGATCGACTCAGGGTTGTTCGTAGGTAGAATTGCAGTAGAAATGTGACCTCATGTGAGAGTAAATTAAATGACTCAGATGATAATAAGAATGCATACACCGAGTTATTTAGGAATACAAAGGGGAAAAGAAACGTCTTAGCTCTTGAGCTGAGAAAGCCCATAGGATCGTTTTCAATTGCAAAGACTCGGAGTAATGTATTAGCGGAAGCGTCTTAATAAAAGGCTGATTGAACCACATTGCACTGGTGTGTGAGAAAAACACAAGTTGATTATAGCATAAAGATACAGGGCTTTTATATGATTACAGGGAATATGGAAGGTTTCACTAACTGCAATTGTAACTGCTGATGCGGTTTGATACAGCGACGACTCGGGTAACTACTCAATAGCGCGTCAGTTGTTTGTCCTTGCTATCGTGCTGCTTTTTTCGAGTCAAAGGTCACTGACCTTGAACCTTCGCTTCAACTTGTTGTTGCTGTCCCTTTGCCTACTCGTCTGGCTGATACGAGGAGACGCCACGCAGATGGCGAATACCCTCCCCTTGGAGGTCGTCGAGTTAGCCATCCGCGCAAAGTGAGCGACGGAACATCCTTCTTGACCGTCCTTCGGGTGGACAACAAGTCGGCCATCATGGCCGCCGAGGGTCTAGGGCTGCAGGGCAACCTCAAGCACATGGAGCGATATACCTGACTACAGCACATGGTGAAGCGCAGGAAATTCACGCTGAAGTACATCCCTGACCATCGAGCAGCCGGCCGACTTCCTGACGAAAGCGCTGCAATTTATGGCCTTCAACCAGTGCCCCGTCACAATCGGCCAAGAGCGTCTGGCCGACGTCGGCGACGGTCACGATGACGTGCAGCTGTAGGTGCCATGCCTTCTTGCATGGGTGGTGCGGTGATCAGCGTGTTGTGTGTTGTGTGCACGTTGACGAGCTATTCTCCGAGTGGTGCTGTCGTGCGGGCTGGAGGCCCAAACGTGAACGCGGCGGGGGAGTGTCAACGGGAGTTGTGTGTTGGCCTCGTCATCGCTTGGGCGGAGCCGACTTCATGGTCGGGTGTGCGGGAGGTGCAGCCGACCCGCAGCAGTGGGCGATGCCGACTTGGGCAAGCTGGTCGACAGAGTAGGTCGACCTGCACGGGGCCACTACAATGCCACCGACTTTGGGACGCCGGTGGCCGACTTCGACCCGGTGGTCGACAAAGGGAGACGTCGACCTGGGCAGGGCACCGACTTTGGGAGGTCAACCTAGGAGGGCATCGACTTGGTGACGCCAACCTGGTGAAGCCGACTTGGTATGGTCAGCTGACAGTTGGGCTGGTCGACCTGGAGCTGGTCGACCAGGGGTGTGGTCAACCGGTGATGGTCCTCGACATAGGCGGTCGACGAGCACAAGGAGGAGCAACTGGTCAACGTGGTTGCCTAGTCGACCAGGTTACCCGGGCGACAGGGTTCCGCGGAGGGTCACGGTAGTCGCCCAGGTGTTTCTGGCAAAGCCGACCTCCGAGGTGGTATCCCGAGGTCGGCATGTCTGATCAGGTGCACTCAACAGCACGTGGACGATTTGGTGTCTGCTCTGTGCAGGTGACGGGGCACAGCACGCCAATCAACTGTGAGCACTTGCAAAGTAGGTGCGCTGCTGTTTTGCGAGTGCAATGCAATGCAGCCGCCTTGCTGCAGCGTTGGAACGCCGTCGACTTGCAGCGTTGGCAGACCGCAACTTTGCACTGCTGGAGCATGGTCGACCGTGCAGCGCTGGAACGTGGTCGACCGTGCTGTGCTGGCAGTCTACCTATATGCTTGCTAGCATCTAATGCAGTCATTGTTGCCTTGCTATTGTCAACCATTGTTCTCAACTTTTGCTAGTGAAACTCTTGCCAAGTCTCCCCGTGAATATGTGCGTGGAGGGAACCCGAGAAAACGACTAAGGAACGCTACGATCACTCCTACCTGTGCCTTCCCTGTAGCTCCCGTTGTAGTAGATATCTCCGCAGAGAGGAAGGGTAGTACTACTGAGAGAAGTGGGGGGAATGGATGACATGACAGATGATGGCGTTGCATAGAAAAACGGTTTTCATATCCATTATTATGCTGCAAACAGGATCGGGGAGGGTCATAATGGGGCAAAATAGGCCAAGGCGCGAAGGGAGGTGAGACGGGAACGGTGTGGAATATAAAATTAAGGTTCGCTCTGACTTCCCTCACTTCTGTGGCATATCAACTTATCTACTGCCATGACATATTGATGTGTCCATTTGAAGCAATGGGACCAAAGAGCATCGGACCCTGGGATGGGAGAATGGATGCATGGGATCAAGGGGTATAAGAGCACGATTCCAGTATGCCAGTTTTGTTTTGTTTTTTCTTTTTCTTTTTCTAGGAGGCGAAAATGTAGTATATGATGCGATTATACAATGCAAAATATCACAATTGTAACCCATTCAAGTGGACTGCTCAGTTTTTGGCAATTGGATCCTGTTACTGTACATGCCCTCTCTCAAGAGAACACAGCACGTTCGGGAAAGCTGTGCATCAATCCATTGTTATAATCACAATAGGCTCAAATGTACCTAAAACGAAAGATAGAGCGCACAATTGGATTTCTCTGCACAGCGGCTTCAAACATTGATAGCGTTTTGGTCACAGCTCCAAATGACCTGCTTCACATTGGATCTGGAGCTTCGGACATTTTACATCGCACGATTTCGTCAAATATTGACGACGCAACTTCAGTTTGAAGAAACGGCACTCTGTCAGCCACTATAGTCTCGGGACACAAACTAGGAAGAGTTACGAGTCGTAAATGACTTCCAGCCCCTACAAACCTCAAGAGCCGAGTTCCAAGGAGCTATAACAGTGCCAAACAGTTTCCACACCTGCTAAACCCTCGAAAGGTGTGGAAACCACCCACCACAAGGGTCTACACCAAGAACTATGCTACACTACACAATTCAATGAATTTTTTTTTGCGAGCTCTTAATGCTCTTGATTCTTTAGATAAAGGCTCTGGGTCTTCAGCATAAATTCCTGCTTGAGTTTAGGGAGGCTTGCTGTGCACACCTGCGACATGCTGAACGATCGACACACGACAAAATAGAAGAACGCACACGACACGCAAACGACAACGTGACACGCGACTAGCAATAACTCGCTATTGACTCGACACTCACATTCAACATCATGACTCATCATTCACACATTATTACAAGCATGAAATATATATTATCTCATGCCCTCATACCATTCCATGCACACACGCATGCATGCACGAAGACAATAAGCAGAGTGTAAGCCTTGGGGTTGCACCAACAAACCTCTTCTCGAATTGTTGGACTTAGAATCTGTTGCTCTCAGTTTGGAGCCATCCCAGCCAGCTTGCAACACTTCCAATGATGCTGTCCACCAGCTTTTTGGTCATCATGTAGTGCAACTCGACTTCACCCGGGGCCACCATGCTCCTCGTCCAATGCCATTTCACCCTCATGTGCTTGGTGAGGCCATACAACATAGGGTTCTTAGCTAGTAATGGCACCCTGACTGTCACAATAGAGAGCGGTAGGTCCTTGCTGCTCCTTCCCCAACAAGCGCCGCTGACGCACAGTTTCACGTACGGCACGGAATATGGCCATGTAATCGGACTCCACCAAGCTCAAAGCTTGATCCACTTGCTTCTTGCTTTCCCAAGCAGTTGGGCCTCCACCAACACAGCAAATGAAGTCTCCCACACTTGTCATGTCCTCTAGGTTTGAGGCATCAGAGAATGCAGTAAGGATTAAATGCCCGGGCACCATCCGCGCCCTTTTGGCGCCTTTGAGCCGCCACCGAGTATTGCAGCCCAACGGTCGCTGTTTTGCCAAGATACTTGGCCACCCTAATTCCAACTGCTAACTGCTCCTCATTATGACATTGAACAACCCTAGCCAGCTGCCAGTAGCAAAGGCGACATCTGGTCGGGTGTGTACCGCCGCATACATGAGACTGCCCACCAACGAGTGAAAATGGTGCCTATGATGGCAGCCCCGGCAAGTAGGGTTCGCAGCATTGTTGGCTTAACTACAGGGGCAAACAACTCCTTGAAGTCCACCTTCTCCTTCTGCTGGTACCCCTTTGTCACAAGCCTAGACTTGTGGCGCTAGATATTGCCATTGGCTTCCGTCTTGTTCTTGAAGAGCCACTTGAACGTGATTGTCTTATGCCCGTCCAATAGCTCCACCAATTCCCACGTGCCGTTCTCCTCAATACTCTTCAGCTCACTCTCCATTGCCTTCTTCCACTCATCAGCATCACTACTCTGCAAGGCATCCGTGAGAGTTGCTGATTCTCCCGACATCTCCACCGAAGAGAAGAACGCGAAGGCACACTCCTCGTATTCACTTTTTGAGTCATCTCCAACCATAAGCGCCGCTCCGGCCAAGGCTGAGTTGGCTGGCTTTCCTGGCGCATCATATGTCAGCCTAGGCTTGAATTCTTCTCTTCCCCTTTCCTTCCTCCTCAGCTGTAGGGACACGAAGGCTCTCATGGCGTTGCTGCGGGGTGACCCGAATCCGTGGAGCATGTGCAGTTTTGCATGTGGATTGGATTGGAAGGAAGAATTCTGAAGAATATCCACCTTCGGCTTCCTTCCAATCCAATCTACA